TTATCCGGCTCTTTCCCCCGGTGTGAGTATGCACCACCATCAATCATGGAGGGCTTAGCCCAGGGGCCGGAGAACCGTCAGCCGGCTCCCAGCGGCAGGGACAGCTGCTACTCCAGAGGGTTCCCAGGGGCCAGACCCACCAGACAGCAGGCTCAGGCCCTTCCCCCAGGGGCACCCCCACTGAGGGCCCAAACCGAGGGACTGGGCCCCACCACCACCACCCAGGCCAAGGGCGACAGGCTAGACAGAGCTGGTTCAAGAGGCGGCCAGGGGTTCCCAGCCGTTGGCTCAGAAGAGCCCCCACCCTGTAAGCTCGTCACGCCCTGAGCCCCTCCTTGTGCCTCTGTTCGCCCTGCAGGCAGTGGGTGCCTCTCCGGTGGGTTTTTAGCTCCCCCACCAGCCTGGGGTCAAAGGTCTTTGACGAGCCACTGGAAGGAAGAAGGCAGGCTGACGGATGGGGACAGCTGCTCCCCCAGCCTCTCCCACATGGACGGGGGCCCCCTGCCCCATCCGTCACGGCCCACCCAGGACCATGCGTCTGTCCTCCATTTCTCCTAATCCCGTCGGCTTCTTCCCAGTGCTCCTAGCACTTGGACACATTTTCCAAATTCTCGAGCCATTGCTGCTTCCTCTTCAAATTCCTCAGCCCCCTCGCCCCATCCCCACCATGGGAAAGGCTGCCGCTGCCCGGACACATGCTCGTTCTTGGGCCGGGCGGGGGGAGGAGCAGCTGGCTGGTCCCGGCAGCTGTGAGGTGTGGGGGTGCCAGGAGAAGAGCCCAGATTACGGGGGCGTCATGGGAAAGCTGTGAGGGAATGCTACCCAGAGCCCCTCCTGCCCACAGCCCCGTTCTGCTCCTCTCAGGATTTCTGGCCTCCGAGGGGCCCTGGAGGGAGGCAGGTGGGGCTCCCAACTGGGACCACTGTATCCCGCTGGCCACAGGCTGCCAAGGAAGCCATCTGCCCGGCTGAGTACGGTACCCTCGGAGCTCAGCACCAGCTCACCCAGCCCTGATGCCTGCCCAACACGCTGGCCCAGGATAGCCACGGCTCCCCCCTGGAAGGGGCCAGAGTGTGGGCTGCTGGCAGGAGAGAAGGGGGGTGGCCGGCCAGGTGTGCACCCTTGGGCCCACCTTGACGAATCCGCAGTAGCCAGCAGGGCCACGGGTGACTGGCCTACAGACAGAAGGGCAACTTCTGGGCTGATAAGGGGGTGGGGGCCTTTCTCTGCCCGCTGGGGGGGGGGTAGCGAGGGAGACCTGACCGTAGGCCCCAGGCCTCCTCTCGGACATTCCTTGGGCTATCTCAATCTGTCCAAAATCGCACAACCAGCCCTTCCTGGATGGTGGCCCGGGGGAGTGGGGTGGAGGTTACACCAATGCTCAGGCCTTCCCGCCTTGGCCAGCGGCCCTTCCTTGATGTGCCACTCTTCAGATAGCATTTTGTCTTTCATTCTTCCCATCCCCTTTTCGTAGTAAAAATCAGAATTCTCTCTCCTACTTGCTGAGATGGGACCCCAAAGTGACATGGCCCAATGTGTCCACTTGGGTTGACTTCGGCCAGTCCAAAGCCTCCTCCCTGGGCCCGGACACCTGAAAACTCACGTCCCACAGTTTCCCGACCCCTCTGTGTGTCGTGTGCTGGGACTTTGTGAATGGCCACTCTCTACTCTTACCCCAAGTCCTTCTGTGCCCACCCCCCAGTCCTGGCTGGCCACCCAGGCATTCTCCTGAAGGGGACACTCAGTGTTTCCCAGGAATTGTGCAGCAGCGCCTGGAGCCTCTGCACTTTCCCGCACTGCGTGTCCCACCTCTCACCCACAGGAGGCCACATCTGCACAAGGACAGGGCAGGGGACACAGAGGCTGTGGCCCAGGGCAGTGAGGGGTTGTGGTAGAAAACAGGGGACAGTCTCCTGTGGGGCGCCAGAGGCAAACGTGGGGGTCCTGGAGTCAGGTCAGTGGGACGCCGCCTCGCTGTCCTGGTCTCCGCTGGGGGGACACTGCCCCGTGGGGGACACTGCCAGTCTCTGTCACTCAGGAGCTCCTGAGCTCAGCCCTTTGTGTTTTATTGTGGTAAATACAGGTAACATAGACTCTGCCATCGTGGCATCTGTAGGGGACTGTGCGTGGCACCAAGCACAGCCACGTTGTGGTGTAATCACGACCACCTATCCCGAATGCTTCGCCTTCCCAAACAGAGGCTCCATGGACGTGTCCGGCCTCCTCGGCCCTCACTCCTGGAGGGCAGAAGCACGGCGGCAGCGCCCTGTCACACAAGGGTGTCGGAGACAGAAACGACCGCTGGTCTCCCCAAGGTCCCATGGAAAGCGCGTGACAGCTGGGTGCTGGGCGGACAGACGGGGACATGGTGGAGAGGCCAGCGTGCCCAAGGCAGGCAGCGAGCTGACCCGTCGGCTGGGCGAGGCTCCGACCCTGCTGCCCACCTGCCGGCCGGAGGGTTGGCTGCACAGCCTTGTCAGCAAAGGGGAGTTTCACCTTCCAGCCTCTGGTTGTCATTAGCTGCTCCTGGGCAGGGGGTGGGCCCTGTAGCCAGCAAGGGTCGAGACTCGCGAGGGGCCACCTGGACTTCATTATTCTTAAGTGGTTGGGTCTGAGAGTGTGGGGGAAGGGAGAAGGAGCCGCCTGCCCCCCACCCCTGCCCCTCCCAGCCAGCACATGCGGGCCGCGCCAGCGCCAGCGTGGAACTGAACCCGGCCACCCCAGAGCCTGGAAGGGCGTCTGTACACGGCTAGGCTCAGCGGGAGGGAACACCAAAAGGATGAGGCAGGAGGTCAGATCCTGGTTCTCCCCTGTCACCTGGGGGTCCCTATGTCCTTCCCAAAGTTATCCTGGGGTATGCCCCGTTTTTGACAGGTGGGAGGGGTCGTCAGGGTACCTTTCCCACCAGCCCCACCTTGGGAAAAACTTTCCTGGGTCTCCCTGTTTTCCTAGGAAACCCCCAGCAGGTGATGGAGCCGGGAGGGTGCTAAGGGGGCCCTCGACAAGCATGCTGTAGCCCGGGGTCCCCAAGATGTCTAAGATCCCAACTCTGTAGCCGCAGGAGTTCTGGGCTCTCCAGGGACTCCCTTGAGGTGCATGCCCGTCGGCATCCTGGCTTACAGGAGGCTGACTGGGTCCCCGGTGGGAAGGGGCTGGCGTCAAGGCCCCGGTGTAGGCCAGAGTGAGGCTCCCAGCTCCTGCCCCATGTGCAGCAGCAGCCTCGAGGGAGGGCCCTGGGGCCTGGGGACCAGCTCAGCCCTGCAGAGGGCCCACACACATGCACATCCGTACCCCCATCCATTCACTCCACAGCCCAGAGGGTCCTGGCGCTCTCCTGACTGACCACAGGAATGTGTAAAATGGTTGCTGGGGACAGGTGGGTGGGGAGGGTGGGCAGGCGGGCACGGCGGCCTCTAGCAGGCTGACTGCTGACCAGAATGATGGGGGCACGGCTGGGCCCTTGGCATCATCACCTCTGTGTTTTTACCCACTGAGCAAATATACACTAAATGAAGCACAAATGAACACGGCCAAAGGAACGGCCGATTCTCTCCTTTCTTCTTAATCCCTTTGGCTTAGGGTTTCCCCGGCCTGGACAGCCTGTCCGAGGGGAAGGCTGCCCAAGGGCACACGGGCATCCGTCTGGGGACATTCAGGCAGTGGCCAATCCCCAGCCACCCTGGTGTGCGCCCTGCACTGTGGGCCTTTTCCCAGCCGGCCAGTGGGGGAGCAGCCACTGTGGGTCCCCGAGTCTTGGCGAGACGGTCAAGGATGGACCTGGGATGGAGACCGGCGTGCAGCCACGTCCCTGGGGGAAGGCGGGGCGCAGGCTGGGACAGAGTACCTTTTAACCACCTCCTTGGCCAAGCTACGAAAAGCCACCTTTGCCCCAGCTCCTACAGCAGCCCGGAGACCACCCTGGGCCGGAGCCCAGCATGACCACCATTGCATCTTGGCTCTCAAGCTCGGGACAGGTCAGTTCCCAGATGTCCAGGCTGGAGCTAGTCCTTGAAGTGCTCAGGGTCCTGTCGGGCATGGGAGGGCCAGGTGAGGGCCTACCATGGCCTCTGAGGATGCGACTCAGTCTGCCTGGGGCACCTGCCCTGGAGAGGTGGTGCCACCCTCGCTACTGTGTCTGCTGGCGGAGATGCCCAGCTCCGTGGGCTGCAGGTCACAAGAGCCCCGCCTGGAAACGCCCACTCCCCAGTCGGGTCCCCGGAGCTCAAATGTCCTGTGTGGTCCCAGGTAGGAGCTCACCCCTGCCCTGATGCCACCCGATTGCAGCTTATTTCTTCCAACCTGGCTTCCCAGGAGGTGGGGAGCAGAGCCTGGCCCCAGCCTGAGGCCCCCTGAACCCGGTGCATGCCCCTCTGCACAAGCTCCTGCTGGCCCGCTCGCAGCCTGCCTGGCCTTCTGGGGTAAGCAGACCTCACTGGGAAAGAGCCCCTGTGGCCCCCCCCCAACCTAATTCCCCTGCCCCCAACCCCTTCAGCAAATCATTAGCGCCTTCACCCTGTCTCCCCCACACCAGCCCCAACCCAGCGGAGCGGCATGACGGTGCCCATGCCCATCATACAGGAGGATGGCAGCCCAGAGAGCACAGAGGGCCTGTGGTCCAGTGGGTTGGGGTCCACGCTGGACCGGAGGGGGTCAGGCCCTCCTCACCCTGAGGGGCGTGCCAGACACCACCCAGGCCAAGTGAGGGGCCTGAGACTGGAACAGAGATGAATGAGTAGCCCTGCGTCTCTAGAAGGTTCTTCCATATCTTTTCTTGGCCTCCTGGGACGAGGCCCCCTTCGCCAGGGCACCCACCTCTAGCCATGGGTAGAACACTTGCCTCTGGTCCCCAATTTCCAGGGCCCTGCTCTCAGCCTGGCAAGGGGGGTGCTGGCCCAGTTCGGGAGACAACTGCCTTTCCAGAGCCCCTTCCCCTTCCCTGTTCCCCATATTGTCCGAAGGTGCCCCAGTCTGGGGGAAGCCGTGAGGAGACAATGCGGCCCCAGGACCCTCAGCCCCTCTGTGCACCTCACCCCCAGGCCGCCCCACCGGCCTCTGAAATGCAGACATTTGTCTTCTCTGGCTTTGCGTCTGCGCTGGAGAGGACGCCCGCTGCCCTCCTGCCCACTGCCCAGCCTGGCCTGCGTTTGGGCCGCGGGTGGCTAAGGGCCCCCCAGGCACAGTGGGGTACAAAGTGGTGACCTGCCGCGCCTCCCTCAGCAGGAGAGAAAGACTCTGCTGTTTGGCCAGGGGACACTGCGCCACTCTCTCTCGGACCCTTCCATGGCTGTGTCCTCCCTCCCAAAGAGTGGCCATCAGATTCCCTCTCTGGGCCCCTCACTCCCGGCTCCTGGCAACTCTAGCCCTTTTGTTTCCACGCTCGTGACATGGCCCCTTCCCCGAGGCCCCAATCCGTCCACCCCCTTTGCTCTCTTCCCAATCAATGCGCATCCTCGTTTTCTAAAGGTCCACTGCTTTGTCCCCACGAAGACCCTCCGTCCTCCCCAGGTTCTCCCACTTGGGCCTGCTCTCGCCCCACCCCCCCCCACACACCTCTCTCTCCTGTCCTCCTGGAAGCTTCCACGTCCTGCCTGGCCCCATCCGCGTCCCACAGCGGCCAGAGGGACGGCGGGTGAGACCAGGCTCGGAGGAGCCTCAGGCATGCATTGTGGCCTAGGGATACTGCTGACCGGCTCCCAGGGAGGTCGGAGGAAGTGGCTTTGTGGGTGGCCGTGTGGGTGGGTGGGCTGGGGCCGAGCAGCAGGGTGTCTCTCTCTGCAGGAAGTGCGCCTCCAGGGGAGGCCGGAGCCTGTCCTGGGCCTGGGGTGGTCTGCCTCGGAGCCAGGCAGGGCCGTGTCCGGCCTGGGCTGCCCCGCGGGGGCCTGAGATTCCTGGCCTGAGTGCTGGGTGCTGCGGGCAAACCCGGCACCGCCTTGGCCCGGAGTTTGCCGTGGCACAGCGCTGGACACGTGCACACTGCCACTCGCTTTATGATGTGACCATGGGGTCCCCACTGTGGCCCTCGGACCACCCTGGAGTCTCATCCAGGCCTCATTGGAACCCCAGCGGGACTGGATATGGGGCCCATGGAAATGTGGGGGGCTGGGGGCCCAGAAACAAACCAACAACTGGCCAATGTGGCCCAGGCCTTACTTGAACAGGACTTCCATCCCAACAGAAGAGCTGGCCAGTCGTCCAGGTCCAGCCCTCTGGGGCTGGGGCTGCCCACCAGGCTCCAGACAGGTCTGGGCTGCCCTCCTCCTGGGGCTGGCCGCCTTTCTCTGCAGCGGGAGCATGGCCGGCTGGGTAGGGAGGAGAGGGTGCCTGTGGGGATTGGGGAGGGTGTCCAGCGGTCAGCCAGGAAAGGCTGGGAGGGACCAGCGCCCCCAGAGAAGGCGCCTGAAGGCGGGAGGCAGCATGGCGGGGAGCCTGCCCCCGGGGAAGGACAACTGGCCCTCCGGAGTCATGTCACGCACTGCCGGGCCGGGCCAGGCTCCATTTGGGGTTTGCGGAAAGTGCTGACCTGCTGAGCCCGCAGGCCAGGCTCGGAGGGGACAGGAAGGAGCTCGCTGCCCGCCTTGGGCACTGCTGACCCATCTCCCATTTCCAGGGCACCGAAGCCACCAAATCTGCCGGCTCTGTGCCCGGGGACAGGCTTGCCGGGACACTCAGGCAGGGCTGCCAGCCTCACGGGGAGGAGGGCTAAACGTCCACCGCTAGCCTGACGCCCCTGCCTGGACCCCGAGCTCTCGCCTTCCTGTTGGCGCCTGCAACACCCTGGCGTCTCTCCCTCGGGTGCGGGAGCAGGGAGAGCAACGGCGCTGCCGCCCCCCAGGAGCCCCCGAGAGCACCTCCCATGTGCCCCCACCCACCCTGCACCCCCTGTGCCTTCATTCCTCACAGTGGAGGAAGGCTTGACCTTGGGGCTAACCAGCTCCCCCCAGCTCCCGGACACATGACAGGGTCACACCGGACAGTCCTTGGTGGCCCGAGACCGCAGGGAGGGGTCTCTGAGGAGGCCGAGAGCAGTCCAGAGGCAAACTCAAATGTCTGCCCAGAAGGAGGAGGGTTGGGAGGCCCCCCTCTGTCTTCCTTGGCCCAGCCGGTCACTCTCTGTGGGTCACAGGCCCGGGTGTGAGATGAAGAAGGAAGACCCAGATATAGGGCCAGGGCGGCCAGACCGGACCCCAGGATCTGTCAGATCCCAAGATAAATGTGGGGAGGGGTTGGAGGGCGAATGGGGTCAGAGGCAGGCAGGTTGTTCTGAAATTCGGTGCGGGCAGAGGGTTGGACCCCAGAGAGGGCACAAGGGAGGAGTCTGGGGCTTGAACCTAATAACGGCCCGAGGAAAGTGCTGTTGGTGGGAGGGAACGGAAGGGCCCGAGAGGGACCCTGGGCCAGGCCGGGGTCGGGGTGGGGCCGTGTGGCAGCCAGCTCCATCTCGCGGGGATTGGGGCACGGAGGACAGCTGCAAGGGCCCTTGGGGGCTCCGTGGGGCTGGAAGGTGGCGTGGTGCTGGTGGGAGGGGTGTGACATGGGGCTTGGGGGCCATGCTGTGGTTTGTGCCTCGCCCCCAGTATTTGGGAGGGGTAGAGAGGGGTCAGGGGCCATATCGTAGTGGAATCGGGGCCGTGAGGGTGAGGACCTGTGGGCTCAGCCCTTGTTTAGAGCACAGCTAGCAGGACTTGGGGAATGATGGGTCAAGCTGGTGTGCTGGGGCAAGGCAGTGGGGGATGCAGGGAGGGCCAGCTCTGCCCTGTGCACGGGTGGCACGGGTAAGCGGGGCGAGCGGCTCACAGCCCCCTGGCCAGCCACCCCGCCCCCACCTCCGCCTGCCCGCTCAGGGGGCCTTCTGGACTCCATCAGGTGTCACAGCAATCTGGCTGTGACATAATGAGGCAGGCCGGGGTCAGCGGGGTGACCTCTTGTGGCCCCGATGTTTGGAAATCCCCAAATCAAAATGACCCAGAGACAGGCTCGAGACTGAATTTTCCAAGCGGGCCCCTTCAATTACCAAAAGACACACCAGCCAGGCCCTTTCGATTACTGCTTCCCCAAGGACCACCTGGGGCAGGGAGCAGTCCCCAGCCCCAGGCTTCTCGAGGTTCACCTCTCCTGGGGGGGATGGGGGGGCTAGGACAGCTGGCCCTGCCGCCCCAGCAGATGTGAGCAGGGCCACATGAGACAAAGAACAATGTATGATGGAGTGCTAAACGCAGTGTGACCCCGTGCCAATGCTCTGTGCTCGCCATGAGGCCAAGGGGCCAGGGCAGCTGACAGGTCTTGGGTGGCTGGAGGGGGTCTGGCCGGAGCCAGCCTGGCAAGCAGGCTCCCATTCGGGGCGGGGGTGAGGGGAGGGGGTGCCGGAGGGACACCCAAGTTCAAAGTCTTATGCGAACAGACCTAACATCCTTCTTGCCCCTCCCCTCCAGGTGTTATCTGGAAAAAAATACCTTTCAAAGTACATGCTGAAACTTCACCATGAAAATTTAATGTCAGAAACCTGTAATCTCTTTCCCAGAGATAAGACACAGCCCTGCAAGGAGGGGCGAGCCCAACCCCCCCTGCTTGCAGGGCAGCCGTTGGGCCGGAAGGCAGGGCTGGGGGCCCGAGAGCGGCCCTGCGAGGCTGAAACTGCTGGGGGAGGGGGGGTCCAGTGGGGGCAGCACGTCCACACTCCCGGCATGCCTGAACTTTCTGGAAATGCCTATCTCCTGCCTGTTCGTCAGGGTGGACTGGCCCCTCGGGGTTGGGACCGGACATTCCTGCGGCTGTGGAGGCTTCAGGTGTCCCCGTGATGCTGGCGGCCTTTCCTTCAGACCCGAATGTAGGCCTTGGGACTCGCAGCCAGCATGGGGGGGTCAGGTTGTCAACAGCTGAGCCAGGAAGGACAGTCCGGCCACCACCACACATGACCTTTTCAGGCAGTGTCCAGGTCTTTCCTGGCCAGCAGCGCCGCCCTTGGGAGACACGACTCATGCAGTTGTGTTTCCAGGCCCACGTCCCTCGGGGACACTGTCCCCCACCGAGACCCTGGCACTAGGTCCACATCAGCCCTCAACCTGCAGGGACCAACCTGAGTGGGGGTGTTGGGTGTTCTAAACTGCCCTGGTCAGTCCAGGCCTGGGGTGGGGGCAGGCGGACAGAAGACGCCAGCCAGCACTGCCTCAGATTACCCCTGGAGTCACAGACAAAACTTCTCTAGCTGGTCCCCAACAGTCCCCACCTGGAACAAGACCTCGGCTTCAGCCATTAGAGAATGACCAGAACCCCCCATGTCCTAGGCCACCCCTGCCTGGGGTTGCTGCTCAGGCCAGGCAGGCACCCGGGAAGGCGAGTGGGGTGCCCTTGGGCACATGGGTGCTAGGCCCTGATTTCTGGGGCTGAATTCTGAGAGAGGGGGTGGTGAGAAGGTGCCTGGCGTAGAGAATTGGCTTTGCTTGGGGGCAGGGGCCCAGGCTGCCCGCCCTCTCACCGCATGATACTACTGCCCCCGTCAGGTGGCCGCCTCAGGGCTCTGACCTGGTGACCCTCCTCGGCCCTGTTAGGAATGGCTCAGGGACCCCAAGATCCTGAAGGGCGGGACAGACATGACAGGGTTGCTGGAACCCTGGTTGTTGAACAGAAAGAGACAGGGACCCCCTAGAGCAGGGACCTGCTTGTCCAGAGCCCCCAGAACCTGGGTTGCCAGCAGTCAAGCCCCTCTCTCGACAAACCCTGACATCCTGGGGTACCCTGAACCCGGGGGGGGGGGTCTGGCCACCTCACTCCTGCCCCCACCCCCACCGTGTACGTGTTCCTGTGGGGCGTCCCGGCTCGGGCGGGCGCGGCAAAGACAAGACAGGGGCGTGCACGTCCCAGGGAAGGGCTGGAGTGAGGCCAGAGAGCAAGCTTCTCCCAAACAGGCGATCCCACCCCCTTGAGGGGACCTGGAGTCAGGGGGCCACTCTGTTGTGGGCTGTTTGCTGGCCCCTCCCGGTGTTGCCGTGGCAACACCATGGGTGCGGTGGGGGCCGCCACCCCTCCGAGGTGACTAAGTGTGCTGTAGCCCCCGGCACCCCCCATCCAGGACTCTCACCTTGGCCCCCGGCCCCCACCAAGAATGTCCCATGACCCCGTGGGTAAGCATGTGTCCCAGCGTGTCAGGCCGAGAGCGCCTGGCCGGCGCCGGCTCCCCCTCCCGCCTACGGGCCTCACCGCCTGGCCTGGAGTCGACCCGCCCACGCGGCCACCCTGTCCATCTCAGGGGCCGTTCCTCCTCGCTCTCAGGTCCCGGCCTCCTGGGGTCGGAGGCTTCCTGAGTTTCCCTGCTCTCCGTCTGGTCCCTGCAGCCGTGCTTTTGGCCACGGCAGTCTCCCCTTCTGCACCTCACTCTCCGTGGGTCGCCCCGTGGCCTTGGTCTCCCAGCTGCCCCCACAGCCTAACTCTGCTGCTCGGGACACACGCCTAGCACCCCAGTTAGCAGGAGGGGTCCTTGGTTAGGGAGGAG